CTAATATTTCTTCCTGAGATTTTTCTCGCTCACAGATTTCTCTCGTATTCTTTTCTTCTCGCCGACTTTCTCCTCGTTTCTTTGCCGGTATTCGTGCGAATGCAGAAATAACCCTTTCCCTTTCGAAAGCGACCGAGTCGTGTACGAGTGATAGTAAGATACGTGTGATGCACGCGCGCGTCGACACTCGCCCAGACAACACGCTCTCTGCGAAATGTGCATGAGCGATCACAGTTATTATATCGACATCGCTACGCGCACATGATGTGTCAACATATAATATATTACACGAACCACAGTGTCCGGGGGGAGGGGGTAGTGGCAGCTTACCCCACGCCCTTACATTTTCGACATACATTTTACCAAGAGTGTATTAAGTATGCATCAAGCATTATTAAGCAGTAATAAGCATACTTAATACGCCCATGATTACGACACACGATTACATCCCCCTACGAATGTAGGTAGATCAAATGTACAACCAATCATTGCAATATACGACTGAAGGAACATTTCGATTATTGCATTCGACTGAACTCATCCTACACGTCTTGCTTTTTTTAATTTCGGAACCGTAAAAAAAGTATTTCCTTCCCATTTTCATCCCCTCGTTACTATACTCGAACATGGTAAGAAACCGATCGCACCCTCTCCCTCTCCCTCTTCCCCCGGCGAAATTTCCTCCCTTACTCCCATCTCTCTTTATTTGCCAGCGGTTGTGCTGCGATGGATAGATGCATTAGCAGCAGTGATGACAACATTCGTGCGTTTGTGTGAAAATTATGGTTATAGCACACATGTAGAGTGGAATATATGTCGATCGTAGATAGAGATAGTAGACGTAGTCACGTAAGCGGTGGTAAGTACGGTTTATTGCAAACACGGATAAAAGCAGCGTACTCGTAGCGGTCAGATGTAGCCGACGTCTCTCTCCCGTTGTCACCAAATCCCCTGTCTTTTATCCGTCCGCATCGTCGTCCGACCTGTTTACTCATTTGTGTCGCGGGTCGTGGGTACAACGACCGGTCGCGACTACCGTCCGACGGTACCAGGTAGGCACGCCGACCACCGTCGATGTTGTCCCCTTAAAGCCGCATTCTTGTTGAAGTTAATGTGTTCGTACCAGTTTGAAATGCTTTCTGTCCACGTTAAATTATGGCTACTCTTAAGTATGCAGCTAATGTCTTCTGGGTCTCTCGCCGGCCGCCCCTGGGCATTTGCCTAACTAATGTGGCAAATTTCTCCTAAAGCCCTTTCTCTCTCTTAGCTAAAACACCGTACTACACACACATCACCACCGCAGCAGCAGCTTGGCTAGATATGGACACATTTGGTCGCTTTTAACGTGAAAATGGATTTATGTTTATCTATCGCGTTTGCCTGTCATTTCGCGTATCGTCGTATGTGTAACGTTGAATTAACAGTTCATGTAGAAATGATGAAGTAGAAATCCAAACTTGTGTGGTAACCTGAATAAACTTTGATATCTTGCACACGTCACATCTCCTTGCACACAGGGACAAAACAACTCTTACTCCCGTCTCCACAGCCAGGCTCCCCTGACTCCTACATCTCTGTCCTATATATTACGTCTAAAACCCCTACATCCTGAGCGCAGATGCACCCGTTCTCCCAGACCGCGTCCTACCCCATTTCACAATGACCCGAGAAACGCCCGACCTAAAACACGTTTACCATTCTCCCCATAACATCAATCCAGCCGCACAAGATGCGCGACGTTCAGTCCACACAGACTACTACCAAAACAACCCCCAGCCCAGCCTCGCTGACTAATTCATGCAACACCTGCAAAACACATGTTACATTATCTCCCCCTTCCCCAAGACGATGACTACCCTGTCATCGATTCAGCGTCCCCGCTGATCTACACTTCAAACTAAACTTAAACAATTCCTAAAAAAAACTCTAATACTTTCCTAACTCAACCTCAACGAGAGAAACGAATTTATCCACAATCAACCCACAATCAATACACAAACAAAATACAATAAAAAAATACATATGAAGCATAAAGCTTCCTATACAAAACAAGTAACGATAAAGTTCGATCACCATACAAGTCAGAAATTCAACACATTTGGCAGTGAACATTTTGATATCGCTGCAATTACTCTCACTCTTACGTCTTTTTATGCTGTAACGTACGTGGCGTATGCGTATACCGACACGCATTACAGAAACCACGTTTAGCCATATGCTCCATTACATCCTTATTTAAACCTATTAATTTCATTATTACACACAGCACCGCTGTGGACTTCCACACATCATACAGCAAAAAAAATACGCAAAACTGATTTCATATTTTCGATGAAATGTTTTAGGCTTATCAAACTCTCTCTCTCGAAGAATGTGTTTAGTAGTCTGACAATATAGCGTAAACACAAGCAAGCACAAATTCAAGAAAACGATCACACATTTCTACACAAAGTTTCACACAAAAGATTTTCCACACAAAGACCGTCACGGTCACAAACATCTACCATGAAAAAAATATACCTCGTACATAAAACAAAGAAAAAACAGATAAAAATACACATTCCTGACGATGTCACACTTTCACGTCTTCTGTCTCTGCTCTGTCAACCTTGCCTTCTCTGTTCTGCTCTCCTCTCTCTCTCTCTCTCTCTCCTCTCTCTCTCTCTCTCTCTCTCACACATAGGTCGAGACTCGGACTTGCCCTCGCAGTATCACGGATGCAACACGGCCCTTCCTTCTTTTACACTGACTTACTCACAGTAGTTTCTACGCCGTGTGTATCCACCGTTCTCTCTCCCGCGTCTCGCTCTGTTCCTCCCGTCTCGCTCTCCGCCATTCTTCGTCTGTCGATCGCTCTCCGTCGTTCTCCGTTTCTCCTACTCTTGCTCCTGTTCCCGTATCTCTCTCTCTCTTCCTCCGTCTCTCTTGCTCTCTCGTCCGCTCTCCGTTTCTTTCTCTCCAGTTTTCTTGCCAGCGGTGTACCCAGCGACTCCTCCTGTGTCTTCTTCCTTTTCCATCTTCCTTGCGTATGGCCTGTAGATCGACATAACAGATCGAGTACCTTACGTTGCGTCCGCAAAGGAATACCCAGGTTTTTGACTGTCACTGGCACCAAAATGTAACGATGAATTAACAGTTCATGTAGAAATGATAAAGTAGAAATCCAAACTTGTGTGGTAACCTAAATAAACTTTAATATCTTGCACACGTCACATCTCCTTGCACACAGAGACAAAACAACGCACACACGCGCGTAAGCGCGTGCGCTTACTCCCGTCTCCACAACCAGACTCCCCTGACTCCAACGTCTCTGTCCTATATATTACCAGGAGCTAATAATGACAAATTTTGTCATTATTAGCTCCTGATCTTACCTCCAAAACCCCTACATTCTGAGCGCACATGTACCCGTTCTCCCAGACCGCGTCCTACCCCCATTTCACAATGACCCGAGAAACGCCCTACCTAAAACACGTTTAACATTCTCCCCTAAACATCAATCCAGCCGCACAAGATGCGCGACGCTCCGTCTACACAAGCCACTACCAAAACAACCCCCAGCCCAGCCTCGCTGACTAATTCATGCAACACCTGCAAAACACATGTTACATATGTAACCATAGAAATAATATAGATAGACTATATTATAGACTAAAGACTGGTTATCTATATTATTTCTATGTATGTAACGTTGGCGTGCAGTTGGCGGTTAATTGTGTGTACGATCCTGTAAAATCCCAAAATGCTAACCACATAATGCTATTATAGTGATAACTATGATATAACCAGGAGTGTATATCTAAGGAAGCTCTTTACTTCCCGTTCCAGGTTCTCGGTTTAGTAGGTGTGAGGTAGTGGCACCATTTTTAAGGGTAGCGTCAGGTTGCGTCGATAGATAACAGGAACACAGTATTATGAAAACTACTCTTCGTGCGTCTATTTCACCACAGAATATTCCTTACAAGTGGCTAGCACTTATACAGCCTACACACACACACACACACACACAC